GCAACCAGTGCGAGTTCTATCCTGGCCCTGCTGTCTCCACCATGGATGGTTCCTCTATTCCACTTCTGAACTACAACGGCCTTCCGCAACCATGTCTCCCTTACCAGGTGATGAAGACGCCGAATGGTTACATGCTCCAGGATCTGGAGAGTCTCACCCAACAGGAACCTCCAATCCCGAGAGCCGTCCCCGCCATGTGGACTAACCCTTCGGAAGTGACGCTCGCAAAATGCCTCGAGAACCGCGAAGGTATTACCAACGTCTACATTAGAGGATTCTTGCCACAGACCACCGACGAAATGCTGCACGCCTACGCTACCCGCTTCGGGAAAATCGATCGTTGCAAGGCGATTGTGGACCTGGACACGGGCCTTTGCAAAGGGTATATCAAAGCAGTCTTTAATGCGTTGTCCTGCCACGCTAACTTCGCTGCCAGATTCGGTTTTGTCCAGTTCTATAACTTCGAGTCATGCGAGAATTGCATTCGGGGCTTTTTTTATCTTGGATATCAAGCAAGTTTTGCACAAGTACTGTGACCGAATGCCATTTGGACATTCGCAAACACTAACATAGTTCAGAAATCTCGCAATTCACGCCTGAAGGACCTTGAGGACAAGACGTCCACCAATATCTATTGCACTAATATTCCGATCACTTGGACTGAGGCTGTAAGTACGGTGACCTCATCCGAAACGACCTTCTAATATATGTCCAGGACCTCCGACATCATTTCGAGCCGTACCGTGTTGTCTCCGAAAAGATCAGCCGTGACGAGAAAACTGGCGTCAGCAAGGAGGTCGGTTTCGCTCGGTAAGTGTTCACTCGCTAGGTTATCTCCCGCTGCCACGAATCTAACTGCATCTCAACAGTTTCGAGACACGTGAAATCGCCGAGAAAGTGTTGGATGAATTCCACAACATCGCCAAAGGTGGAGTGAAATTGCTCCTCCGGTTCGCAGACACGAAGGCACAAAAGATGTTGAAACAGCAAAGCAACGAGCGTCGTGCATACCGCGCTGGAGAGTACAACTACTCCGTTGAAGTGGTGCAGGGCTCTACTCCATCGCCTTCTCTGCACCGTCTCCAGCAGACAGCCAATCATCTCAGCCCTAACTCCCAGGTCAGCTATCCATCGCCGGTCGGAGTAGGTTCCACTTGGACTCCTGCGACGTCCATCTCCCCGTCGTATGTATGAAGGATTGTCTTGTACAGATACCATGAGCGGTCTAACGATATAAGCAGGTACCAGTTGATGAAAAATCCGGCTAGCAACTTGCCTTTCAGCTCATGGTCAACCAGGAACAGTCCAGCAACTTGGGAGACCACCCCGGTATATCATGGACGACTCTATGACGGTCATGCCGTGCCAAACAATGCTTCTGCTAGCTCTTCCAAGACAGTTATGCCCAGCACTCCATGCGTCAAGGCTCGGTCGCAAGGCTCCAGTCCCCAGAAGGAGAACATGGAGATTGATTCTCTGTCTCCAATCTCCCCCTGCAAGGATGCCATCATGACTTCTCCAAGATCTGCTCTTTGAGTTGATGTTTCAAGCTTTGTCTTACCCATCACATTGCTATGGATTATCTGTATCGCCACTACTCGGAGGTACCAAAATGCCCTCGTCGTCAACCATGGCAGTCATTACGAGCATCATGAAGTTCTGTCTTCCGGATTATTTTACTTTTCGAGGCATTATCCTATCGACTGTATGATCACTGCTCTAGCTCGGCTATTGCAGAACTTTCTCCCGTGCGCCATCCCTTACTCTTGATCCTTCTCATTCCTTTTTGTGCCTTCTGTTTTTTGCAACTCATTGCAGGTTAATATTTGAGCGTTGCAAGTGTTATCTTTTTGTTAATTTCTCGATGCCGAAGTTTGATGTATGATCAAAAAAATGTGTTATATAGAACTGCATATGTTACCGATTCGGCGAATCAAGCAGTGATAAATTCTCTTAAAGATGTAAAAGTGGATTCGTGAATTCTTCATCTGACCTAAACCGCAAGCTCGCTTTTCTCTCGTCCAACAGGTTAGGGCCTCCTAGTCTAAAATATGATAACGACTCTAGTCAAGTTCCGTGGGATTGGAACATCTTCGAAAATCATGCAAGGTTGTTGCACAGTCTATAGCTCTGCGGTGAACGTAAATCGAAAGGGCAACCGCTCAGCGTCCAGGGCTTTGGGGGAGAGGAGAGGTAAGAAGGGGTTAGAAACGACGGAATAGGGAAAGGGCTGTTGAAATCCCGCTATACACAACGGGGCCGCAATGGACTAAAGATGGCGCCAGGCCGTTAAATTGCCGCTATTTGCTGCGTCCCAGCCTCTCCTCCTGATCCTCGGTTAACTCGTAGGCTGGTCGATAGTGCTGAGATTGTGTACCATCTGCAGCGTCTTGACCTGGATCGGCGCTGTCGTCCACACGCAACTTGGGATTCGGGTGGGTATCTGTAGTGCCTCCCAGGCTAGTGTAACCTTGATCATAGAGAGAGCAGTACTTAAGACCCAAGTGACGAATGAAAGCCCAGATCTCCGCGTAGTGCCAGTCAATGACAGGGTGAATGCGCATGAATTCAGGCCATCCGCTGTCGGTAGGATCGAAATGGGTCAGATTGGCCCCGTGCGGATCAGTGCGCCGGGTTCCGACGAAGATAGCCTTGATGGACGGGTTGAGGGAGAGGTAGTGTTCGAAGCTTGACTTGAGGGTTGTGCGGGGCGGCTCGGTGGTGAATCTCACGATTGCGAGGTGGTAGGCGCGCGAGGACCACTGGACGAACTCCTCTACCGCAGGGAAAGAATCGGGTGGGAGGGCGTAGATGGAGGGGATATCGGCGAGACCACCTTCCTCCGGGGGTGGGTGCGGGTGGAGACTGGCGAGGAAGAGGATGAGCAGGACGAGACAGTCTTTGCCGCCATTGTAGGAGAGGGAGAGTTCGGAGAGCTTGTAGCGGGATAGGGCTGTTGCGACGACGTCGAGGGAGATGCGGGTCTGTCGTTGGACGGCCGCGAGAAGGGAATCCGGGGGGTGTGATTCTCGAAGGAAGGACTGGACGCGGAGGTGAACGTCGGCGACGACGGCGGAGAGCGAAGGGGAGGATTCGACTGTTGTTGCGGCAGTCGCCGAAGAGGGGAACGAAGGGATGTTATCCGTTTCTTTTGTTGTCGTGAGGGGGGAGTTGGGATACTGTGGTGGAGGATGTTGGCTGTTCACTGCGGTGCCATTTGCAGTTGGGAGCGCCGGATGTGGCTCGGAGGCAGATTCTCTCATGTCTTGCATCCCAATTGCTGGATTCTGTAGCAGTTTTGACGTGGAAAATATACTTCGCGTATTTATGAGCTTTGCAGCTTTGGTAAACGTTGTAGCGGGGGCGGAATGTGATGTTGTTGTATCACTGACTTATCGGCAAAGCCAGTGGTGTCACGGATGAGAGATAGGATCATATAGCCTGTCAAGGCCAAATTTCAGAGGAAAAAGCGGTTTCCGTATACTACCTCATGGGAGATGGCTTCATACGAAAGGGTAATAATCAATGACAGCTGATCATAAAAGGGCATTCCCGATGGTGGAGACAGGCTGGAGAATCTTCTGGTTTTCGAAATCAGCTCGGAGAAGTCCAACCCCGCGCCCCGCGTCGCCATCATCGACTGCGGGCTGATCGCTTGATCAAGAGTCCAAGGCACCTGCTAGACCAAGATCAACCAGTGCTATAGATATTATGTTCTCACTCTTGACTTCGTGACTCGCATCCGGCGAATTGGCAAGTATGGACCGTGTGGAATGTCCCATGTTTTGCAGAGAACTTCACAGGAGGCTGCAATGGTCATGAGATCAATCTTATATATTCAGAACCGCTATGATACACAATCCGATGTCTTGAAACATTGAGAAGACGAGAAATCAATTATAATAGAGGCATCCCAAACGCCAATTGACCACAGTCCGAGCGATTCGGACTTTGTATGCCAGATCATTAGCCTAGAACTTTCATCTTTTTCTTCTTCTTCTTGTCACCATCGGTCCCCTTCTTCTGCCCCTTTTGGAATTCTCGCCAGCTTCCAATCCGCTCATCTCGGGTATTTTCCCAAGATTGCTCCTGCTCTCGCTTCCGTTTCCTTGCCTCTAACTCTTCTTCCTCTTTGCGCTTCTCTCGTCCTTCCTCCTGCAGCTTGGCTTTAAGCTGCCTTCGTCTGCGCGCTTCCTCTTCCAGCAAGACCTGCACAGTCTTTTGGCGCCATTCCTTTTTGAATTCTTCAGTCTGCAATTCAGGGGAGTCTACTGTGTACTTATGTTCCCGGATCAAGAGCCGTCGCGCATCAGCGATACATTCATCCAGATACGCGCGGGCCTTCTCATCCAATAATGTGGTCTGTGCTTTCTTGAGTCGATCGAAGGCATCTGGGGCAGCAGGGTTTTTTGTCTTGTCGGGGTGAATGAGAAGGGACTTTTTGCGATACTGTAATTTGATGTCGGATTCGGCGACACCTGGCTGAAGATCCAAGACCGCATATCTTTATAGGGAAATTGTCAGCTGGTAAACCGTAGAATGCATAGAAGATGTCGAAGAACAAGAGAGTAAAGAAGAATACTCACGCATCTAATTGAAAAGCTTTTCGAATGCGATCGATTTCCGCATCCTACATGGCAGCACGTGTCAGTCTGACACCAGTTTGCAGCTAGGGCCACTCGCACATACCTTGATGAAATCTGACGCCTCCCTCTCCAGTGCGTCCAAAGCATCTTGCTCTTCGGATGACGACATTGCGAATTCGATCTTACAAACGCCAGAAGCTTCAGTTACTCTGTCTTCGCTGTATGATCAAGAAACAGTCCCTGTAGTCTGAGAGTTGGTGATAAGCTGCCAATCTTATCTATGGCTGACTCAGCAGCGGAGAAAAAAAAAGTTGCTTCACCGCCCGACGGCGGATTGCTTCATGGCCGACCAAAGATCATCAACTTCTGTATCAGCGAGGATACTACCCTTGATACGGGCTCACGCGGACTATCATGGCTCCTGCTACTGGTCCTCACACTGGTAAACATGCAAAGCCACCACGTTCAAAAACGTTGAAACGCAAGCGCGGGCAGGAAGACCTGTCATCTCTCATCCAGCGGGTTGAAGATCTGGACCTCAAAGAGACCTTCAAATCCTTCTCCGATCTCCCTCTATCCGAACCGACTGCTTCAGGACTTGCTTCGTCGCACTACAAAACATTGACTGATATCCAATCCCGTGCGATAAGCCACGCGCTCAAGGGTCGAGACGTTCTGGGCGCCGCGAAGACCGGTAGTGGCAAGACGCTGGCTTTCCTCGTCCCCGTGCTCGAAAATCTCTACCGCAAGCAATGGGCTGAGCATGACGGATTGGGCGCTTTGATTTTATCTCCAACTCGCGAGCTTGCCATTCAGATTTTCGAAGTTCTCCGAAAAATCGGTCGCTACCATACATTTTCGGCCGGTCTGGTCATTGGTGGGAAGAGTTTGAAGGAGGAGCAGGAGAGACTGGGACGGATGAATATTCTGGTGTGTACGCCCGGTCGTATGCTACAACATCTGGATCAGACAGCACTCTTCGACACATATAACCTTCAGATGCTGGTCCTCGATGAAGCAGATCGTATCCTAGATCTGGGCTTCCAGCAGACTGTGGATGCCATTATCGGCCACCTTCCTAAAGAGCGCCAGACGTTGCTATTCAGTGCAACTCAAACGAAGAAGGTTTCGGACCTTGCCCGGTTGAGTCTCCAGGATCCCGAGTACGTGGCTGTCCACGAGACGGCGTCTTCAGCAACGCCATCTAAACTTCAGCAACATTACGTGATTACGCCGCTTCCGCAGAAGCTTGATACTCTGTGGAGTTTCATCCGGAGCAATCTCAAGTCCAAGACCATGGTGTTTTTGTCTTCGGGGAAACAAGTACGATTTGTGTACGAATCCTTCCGACATATGCAGCCTGGTATCCCGTTGATGCATCTCCACGGCCGTCAGAAGCAGGGTGGACGATTGGACATCGTAACCAGATTCTCTCAATCACAGCATTGCGTTCTCTTCTCTACGGATGTTGCTGCTCGTGGTTTGGACTTCCCAGCGGTCGACTGGGTCATCCAGCTTGACTGTCCCGAAGATGCGGACACTTATATCCACCGAGTGGGACGTACAGCGCGGTACGAGCGGGACGGTCGTGCGGTTTTGTTCTTGGATCCTAGTGAGGAGGAAGGCATGCTGAAGCGTCTGGAGCAGAAGAAAGTGCCCATCGAGAAGATTAACATCAAGGCAAACAAACAACAGAGTATCAAGGATCAGCTACAGAACATGTGCTTCAAGGATCCCGAGCTCAAGTATCTCGGGCAGAAGGCATTCATTTCTTATGTCAAATCTGTCTATATCCAGAAAGACAAGGAGGTTTTTAAACTCAAGGAACTGAAGCTGGATGAGTTCGCGGCTAGCTTAGGTCTCCCTGGTGCACCCCGGATCAAATTCATCAAGGGAGACGATACGAAGCAACGGAAAAACGCACCTCGAGCCGCAGCACACCTGTTGAGTGATGACGACGACTCGGACGAGGAGGATAGTGAGAAGAAGAGCAAGAAGAAGGAGGAACCACAGGTACGGACCAAATATGACCGGATGTTTGAGCGGCGAAACCAAGACGTGCTGGCGGAGCATTACTCGAAACTCATCAATGACGACGGCACATTGGTTGCACCCAATGCCAGTGCCGGGGCGGATGCGGACGAAGATGATGACTTCCTGTCCGTTAAGCGCCGTTTCGACGCTGGTGATAAGAACCTCGGATTGTCAAGCGATGAGGACGATGAGGGTGAGAAAAGTGACAAGAAGGACGTCAAGGTGGTGCAAATTGACGGCAGTACACCCCTGGTCATTGATTCTAAGCGTCGCGAGAAGCTCCTCAAGTCGAAGAAGAAGTTACTCAAATTCAAGGGCAAGGGAACCAAACTGGTCTACGACGACGAAGGGAACGCGCACGAGTTGTATGAGCTGGAAGACGAAGAGCAATTCAAGGCTCGCGGCGACGCCAAGGATCAACAGGCCAAGTTCTTGGCAGAGGAGGCGGAGCGCACACGTATGGCAGACATGGAGGACAAGGAGATCGCCAAACAGAAGCGGCGCGAGAAGAAGGAGAAACGCAAGGCCCGCGAGCGCGAGCTCCTTGCCGAAGCGGAGGAAGACGAGAGATTGGTACAACTACCTCCCTACGAAGGGGACCAGGACGTCGATGGAGGATTCTCCGCCTCCGAGGACGAAGCACCACGTCCCAGCAAGAAGGCAAAGGTCAAGTTCACCGAGGCGAACGACAGAGAGGAGGAAGCAGAGCCTTGGTACAAGAAGAGCAAGAAGTCCAGCGACAAAGCAGCCGACGCTTCTGCTCAGATCCAAACCCTGGAGGATCTGGAATCACTCGCCACTGGCTTGCTCGGTTAGCGGTCCTGTATCGACGATTTACGGATACATTTTCCTTTTTTTTTCGCTTACTGCACTTTTCTCTAGCGGAGTAATAAAAGCATTCTTTGGTCCAAGGGGTGTTATATCAATCTTTGTATATAGTGATAACATAGACAATACTGTAAATGAGCATTATTATACAAACAACTATGTCTATCTCCAGATCCCACTACCCACTTGGGGCATATTCCTAATTCCCTGCTGCCAAGACAAATAATGAAGCTTTTCAGCAAAGCGTGGCGTCGACCGTGGAGCCATGGTCTGCAATTCCGTCTAGTCGAACCAATCGTCAATTCTCCTGGTCTTCTTCAGCCCACAGCCATGTGTGGATGGTCCTTCTGGATCAATCGAAGATGAAGAGATTCAGATCCATCTCAGTACGTAATTTTTATCGATCACGCAATCGCCGCTAAACTCTCTCGAATGTAACGTCAAGACAGGGATTTGGCTTTGCGTCAAGATCGTTGCAAATGGCATAATCAGTCTGACAGGAGGAGTTTCTTCTGCGAATGGGTTCGCCTGCCTTTGAACTAAATTCTACTCATCTGCTGTTGTTATGGGTGTTCGTCCATTTTTAAGTCCAAGGAGCTGAAAAATTGGAAAAGTCCGGTAGAGTCACGTGCTTATTTCCAAATTGGGAAGCGAGATATAGAACTGGGAGTCCAGAGGTGAGTCGGAGCCCTTCGAGCGCAGTTTCATTGACAGCGGACTAACATGGCTGCTAGCCCAAAAAGAATCACGGCCAATTGTGCCTGCTGGCGGTGGAAGTTACCCAAGCGAGATTCTTGAGCTTGGCAGTGGTCTGGTGAGGGGTTGAGGCGCTTCTTCGCAGAGCTGTCTTCTGTCTGCACGATCGAAGCAAAGATGACAGTCCATGATATCGAAAAGTATCCTCCTCACGCTCCCCAGGAGCCTCTGAGCGGCAAGGCTCCAGGCGCAGAACCATTCGAATTCGACCAACATGTCAGGGCCGACAAGCTTGCCCGTAAGCTCTCCGCCCGACAGGTGCAGATGATCGCCATCGGCGGCACAATCGGGACGGGCCTCTTCCTTGGAACGGGCAAAGCTCTCGCGACCGGTGGGCCGGCGTCGATGCTTATTTCGTATGCCATATGCGGTGGGATTGTGTTTGTCACGATGTTGAGTTTGGGTGAGATGGCTGCGTTTATTCCCATTGCGGGTTCGTTCTGTACTTTTGCCGGGTGAGTAGTTCATTGATGGATAGTGTGGGGTATCGCTGACGACTGCTGTAGTCGCTTCGTTGATGATGCTCTTGGGTTCGCTCTGACTTGGAATTACTGGTTTAATGACGCTGTCTCGACGGCGTCGGATGTCATTGCACTGCAACTATTGCTTCAGTATTGGACGGATAACTTTCCAGGCTGGGCGATCAGTTTGATCTTTCTCATTGTTGTCATTTTATTCAATGTGATGTCTGTGAGGGTCTATGGAGAGGTATGGTCATGGTGTGCTTTTAACAAGAACTTTGCTAACTCTCCGCAGGTTGAATACTGGCTCAGCTTACTGAAGGTCATCACGATTATAGTATGCTCACATCCGCGCCCACGTTGCTTGTTTCCTTGGACTTGAGACTAACGATTGCAAGATCTTCATTATCCTTGGGATTGTTGTCAACTGCGGGGGCAATAAGGAGCACAAATACATTGGCGACAAGTACTTCTATGTGGGCGATGCCCCCTTCGTGGGTGGAATCGGTGGATTCGCCTCCGTCTTCGTTACGGCATCGTTCGCTTAGTATGTCCTTTGATCTGATATAACGAAGGTAGAACGGAGCTGACTGCATCCAGTGGCGGCACGGAATCCATTGCCATCACAGCGGGAGAAACCAAAGACCCAGCCAAGAACCTGCCCCGTGTTGTCCGCAATGTCTTCTGGCGCATCGTCCTCTTCTACATCATCTCCATCATTCTCATCGGTCTGAACGTGCCCTACAACTACCCCAACCTGTCGAAGAAAACCACCGCCACCAGCCCGTTTACCATCGTCTTCATGGAAGCTGGCAGCGCCATCGCAGGCAGCTTTATCAACGCCGTGCTAATGACCAGCGTCATCTCCGCGGCAAATCACGCTCTCTTCGCCGGATCCCGGCTTCTCTACACCCTCGCGGTAGACGGCCACGCCCCTCGCTTCTTTGGCCACCTCAATCGCTTCCAGGTCCCCTGGGTCGCCGTCCTGGCCACATCCCTCATCAGCGGCCTGTGCTTCGGAGCCAGCTACATCGGAGCCGGACAGCTCTGGACCTGGTTGCAAAAGTAAGCACCCCCCCAACAAAAAAACCACCCGCAAATATGCAACAGCCCTAATGGTAGAAACTAGCATCGTCGGCGTCTCCAACCAAATCTCCTGGGTCTGCATCGGCATCGCTTCCCTGCGCTTCCGCGCCGCCATCCGCCACCAAAACCTCGAACACCTCCTCCCCTTCAAGAACTGGACGTACCCCGTCGGCCCCATCATCGCCGTCGGCCTGAATATCGTCTTGATCCTCGTGCAGGGCTGGTCCTGCTTCAGCCCGTCCTTCCAGGCCGTCGACTTTGTCTCCTTCTACATCGAGATCCCGGTCATGATTGTCATGTTTTTAGCCTGGAAGCTGGTCAAGCGGACTAGGTTCGTGCATCTCGATGAGATGGACTTGGTCACGGACCGGTATGATCTGAATGCGGGGCACGATGAAAGTAATGGCCATGGCAATGGTGCGGAGAGCCCGTCTCGGGTTGGAAGGATCCTGCATATCAAACAGGTGGAGACCGAAAAGGGCGTGCTTGGGAAGCTCAAGCGAGTCGGGATGTGGTTGTTCTTATAGTATGGTGTTTTGCGTCCCCGTTCCCATTCCTGTTTATATTTGTAATAGATGATGTGTATATACGTGACTTAAGCGAATGAGACACGACACGACACGAACTCATGACTCTGCCTACTCTGTCACTAATCAAGGTGGATCGATATGCGGGAAGACAACTATTTCGTCTCGTAGCATTGATCTAGATATCTACTACATTCAGAATGAGTAAGCGGCAGTTCCAACATCACACAACTCTATTCAACAGCCGAGTATCCCTCCGCTATATAGTCACATGCACTAGATATTAGGCCATCCGTCCAGCAGGATATCAGAGCCAGTCTGTGGTATGTATAGTCTATAGACATATAGAATGCTGACAAAGGAACCAGGAATAAGGGAAAAAGAAAAAGAAAAAGAAAAACGAAAATTATATATGTCCCGCTCCCCTCCTATGCATTATGCAGCAGTGTGGATGATCGAATACAGTAATGCGAATGGCGTGACCCCGTAAGAACTCCGAGAAAGACAACACCCAACAGACGCAAAACGCCAGAGATGAACCTTGACCTTGATGAAACGGAAAGGATGGAAGAGGAAGACGATCGTGGAATATGATGCAGCCAGTGTATAGTGTAAACAGGGCTAAAAATCCGCGTAGTAGATGTAAAGATGCCAATGCTGGAGCGCATGCAAACACCAGGGATATCAGAAACAAAGGAAATAGCGAGTCGGCGGGCGGCGTGAGCTGCTCATACCAGCGATGAGTGGTGATTAAATCGTACAGCGAATTGATCTGGGAGTTGGAGATACACGGACAAAGGAAATGTAAACATCAGGGTCGTTCAAGTTCGTAGGGCCTGCTACAAGGATAGATGTCTTGAGGAGGTCTCCGGGACTTCCAAGAGGCCAAAATCGAAGAAAAGGAGGCCGATCTGGATCCATACTAAGTCGTGTCCATAAGAGACGATCAGTCATTCACCATATCATCCAAGGCCATCTTTCGCCTCTTGGTGGGCCTGGATTCGCCTGTTTCGGGTCCCCCAGCTGGTTGCTCGTCCCGAGGACGAGCTGGAGACGACTGCGCTGAAAGATTTTGGGCTCCGTGTACAATTGAATTTGATTGTTGCGACCCTAATTCTCCGTGGCCGTGTTCGAGCGCAGCGTGACGCGTTTGCACGGCGGGAGAAATTGGTTCCATAAAACTGTGCGGCGACGACCCTCCAGTCTGCTGCTGTAGTTGTGGCTGCAGCAGCTCCTCACGGAGTCGAGGTGACCACGCTGCCGGGTACGGATCGCTCAACCGATGTGCCTGTGGTGTGGGACGAGAGTGCGTCATCGCGGGAGGGAAAATAGGGGGCAATCGGACTGGAGATTCCGGGTATGCTTCGCGATTGTCGCCAGCCGGCAACCGGCTCACCATTCTCGGACTCGCCGTGTATGGCGGCATGGGCACACCGAATGGTTGTTGATATTGCGGTGGAGACGTGGTTGTAGGAGTTAATCCCTGGTGAGTATATGAAGAAGGAGGCCTCCCTGCGCCCATTGGCGTGCGGCCGAGATTGAGCGCAGGACTGAAACCGCTTGTCAGAGGAATAAAACCTGGCGGTGTCGCAACTGTCATCTGTGGTATGGAACCAGAAGAAGAAAAGCGCCTATGTCCCAGGTTTGCCTGCATCGATAATGAGGGATCCACGACCTGGGAAAACACGGAAGTCGACCACCTGTGGGGGTGACCCGGCGGAGCTCTAAACCCGACTGCCCCGTGCGGTGTACCAGGCATGTGAAGGTCTGTCACAGGTCGAATTTCGCGGGAGCCGGTGGACCTATGCGTATGAGTGCGTCTGGGTAGAGGGGTCTGCTGCTCTCCGGATGTCGCCGCATTCTCTGCCTGTGATGCGTACGTCCTGAGAGACGCATCTTCAGCTTTCAGTGGCGGCCTTCCTCTTTTCTTATGCGTAACATCAACACAGGTAGCCTTTTTTTCCCCACCAGTATTCATCTTAGCAACGAACTCGGTATCAGGTGGACTAGAATAGAATGGCTTACCTCCTTTCCCGACAAGACGCACCTTCGACAAGGTCGGGCAGGATCGCACCCTAGATGCTTCTTCTTGCAATTAACACACGCCGATGCGACGTGTGCTTTAGTGCGCCTTGTCCCTTTTGGCAGCAGTTCCCTA